GGAAGCAGTTGTGGCAATGCCAGCAGGGCTGAGAAGTCCCTTAGTGATCACTTTCTCTTGTTAGTGTTGGTGGTAAGTGGAAATATAAATACACACCAAAACATGGTTCAGGACAAGTTAAGACCTGCTAAACTGGGAACACCAATTTTTCACCTGTTTAGAAAAAAATATAATTTTTTATTGCCCCATACGTATTTTCATCTTAAAATAAGTATGTCTTTTATGTGAGTAAATGAAAGAAAAAAGTTTTATTTCAAAGTACAAAAGCTAATCATGATCATGGAAGTTAATCCAAAGTAAGTCAAAGGTACTGGTTCTATTATTCATTCAGAATTCATGGGCAGGAGAGAAGTGTAGCCATAAAAGGAAAAGAAATCAGAGTTACTCACCCAAAGCACGGAACAAAGATGCGGAGCCGGGGAAACTCAGAAGCCCTCGTACTCCTGATGGCTCTGTTCAAAGGCCCTGTGATGCTTTTCCTCCTGTCAGTCATCCTCCCCCTCCTTCAGCTGAGGACACCTGTTTATTGTTGGAGTTTCCTGTTCCTACCACCATCCCTTTAAGAAAGTAGGGGAAAGAACTGGTTTATGCATATCTGGGGGCTAAGGTATGTTTTGGGGAGAAGGAAGTTTCTCACAGCATATCCCAACCATGGGCCAAAGCATGAAGCATGGTGCCTTCTGAGAATATACACAGTTCCCCACCTCACCTTTTGTATCATTGATGCACTTACAGAAGTCTTTTCACTCTTGAGGTCTGTGCCACTTGCTCAGGTCATCTGACCTCTACTCCAGTGGTGCTCTTCCACTTCCCTCCGTAGCTTTCTTATCTTGTCTCCTATCTCACCATCTTCTGAGCCTATTTCCCCCAATCATCTCCTTAGGCCACCAACTTCACCACACAGTTCCATACCATGTCCTTGGTTCCCAATGTACTAAGAAGATAGAAGCCATCTCCTAGATCAGTGGTTCTCAACCTTCCTAATGCCGCGACCCTTTAATACAGTTCCTCATGTTGTGGTGACCCCCAATTTCATTGTGACAAATTGAACATAATTAAAGCATCGTGATTAATCACAAAAACAATATGTAATTATACATGTGTTTTCCGATGGTCTTAGGCGACCCCTGTGAAAGGGTCATTTGACCCCCAAAGGGGTCGCGACCCACAGGTTGAGAACCACTGTCCTAGATCTACCTAAGTTTCCTTATTATCTCTACTTACATGTTTTTTTAATCTTCATCCATCTTCTTTCTCCTGATCCTCTCTGAAAGGATGAAGTCTCAGTCCTTTTATAGCCTAACCCCTCCACTGTGTTCCTGAACCTGTCACATCTTCTCAATACCCACTCCCACCCTGCCTTCCCAGCCACGAAGGCTCTTCGGTCTGACTCCTCCCTTTCATGATGATATTCCTGGGACATGGTTCACTTCCTCTCCATTCACGCACCCCTCCCCGCCCCTCTCCCCACCACGGGGCCTGAAGTGATCTTCTCACCACTTTGTCTTAGACTTATCATCTCTGTGAACTTGACAGCGTCAGGCGAGCTTTTTCTTTGAATCTCCTGAGACAGTGCCCTCCAGGTTCGGCTGACTCATCTTGATTTTACTTTTTCATAATCTTTGCCATAGGTTTCCTCCATGACTTTGATTCCCTATCGCTTCCCCCGGCTTTCTGTGTTTCTTCTCTTTATCCTTACCTTTATAATACCCTTTCTCTCCTGTTCCCTCTTAATCCCATCCACTCCCCAAACTTGAATAATTCACAAATTTGTCTCTGTCCTTGACCTTTGTCCAGGTCCTCATTCTTTATTTCTAACTGCCTGCTAAACGTCGACAGCATGATGTGTTATCATTATTAAAACACCAACTGTCTGAAACCAGATTCACCACTCTCACCAAAACCAGTTTCTCTGCACATTTTGTCCTATTTAATAGCATCCCATTCTCTGTCACCCACAGTCACCTTTGACCATCAAATCCCATGGGTTAGAGCTTTGCATTGTCTCTTGCATTTGGCCTCATCTTAGGGTGCTGACTAAGTTAGATTTACGTTGTTATGGAGCCTATTAACTTGTCATTTAAGGGCAGGGGACTTGTTTTGCTCATCTCTGCTTGCCACTTGGTGGTCAGCACAGTGCCCTTACTATAGGACAGTGGTTCTCAACCTTCTGGCCCTTTAAATACAGTTCCTCATGTTGTGACCCAACTATAAAATTATTTTCGTTGCTACTTCATAACTGTAGTGTTGCTACTGTTATGAATCATAATGTAAATATCTGATATACAGGATGGTCTTAGGCGACCCCTGTGAAAGGGTCGTTCGACCGCCAAAGGGGTCGTGACCCACAGGTTGAGAACCGCTGCCATAGGACATCCTCACTGTTTGTTGAATAAATGACTGTAAATTAAGTGTTTTAATGCTTTACTTGCATCTTGTGAGCTACTTGTCATTGAACCTATTTTCCGTCATTAGTTCTCTGAATACTGTTATTCTTAATCAAGTAAGCACTAGAATAAAGTTTCACGCCCAGACCCCCAACCATGCCACTTCTGCTCTTTTTCAGGAAGAGCAAGTAGGTGAGGATGCATGGGTCGGGAGGCATGAATCTAACCTTCCTTCTTGAGAGCCAGCTATGATGCAGAGGGTTATCATGTTTTCATGGCAATTTTAGATAACTTACATCTCCCTTTATACATTGATTTTTTCTGCTTTTTCTCTTCCTTATTTTTAACAGGTTTTCGAAATGGAAACCACCACTATGACATTAGGTGCTATTGATAGTACATCAATATGATGCAGCTCGTCCCCTGCCCAGCAGAGTGTGGCTGCTCTGTGCACGGCCCTGTAATGCATATTAGTTGCACAGACATTAGGGAAGCCCTTCCCATCCATATGTGTGTGCATGGCCCGTGGAAGTTAATAATGCCATAGATCACATGCACAGAGAATGTGCAACATACGTCAGAACGGCGGTGGGCTCGTGCAAAATGAGTACTGGCTCCCGAGAAGAGGAAAACCAGGGGAAGATTTCTGTCCTTTCAAATCTACTGTTGACCGAATTATTTGTTTCTGTGAGTCGCGGTATCCCAGGCCCACGTTCTGCTGTTGTTCGTGTGTTTTTTCAATATGTGCCCCTCTCTTTGGCCACCTTATTTCCTGTGGATAACAAAAGAAGCCCTTTGGAGAAATGAGAGAGAGAGCAATTACACATTGCTATTCATGTTGCAGGAGTCGCACTCTGTCCTTGGGGAGTTTAACAATGAATATCCCACATTAATTGCCACAGTAACTGCGTGTCTGACCTTGCTGAAATGTAATACATCAGCTTTACATAGGAAAATTATTTGCCACCAAAAGATTTAAAAAGAATCATCATAAAATTATAGTGCTGTTTTAGAATGACTAATATTTTTGTGTGTTTAAGAAGATCCTGGAGGACTCAAGCGACTAGGTCGCTGCATTGTCTGAGGAGTCAGGATCCTGGGAGCTGAAATCATAATTTTATCACTGATTTGGTTGACAGTTATAACAAGATGAGTGCCCTGCTTTCCTTACGAAGGGTGAACAACATACATGGGGATCCCTGATAGGTCTGTGGGACTCTTGGATAATAAGGCAGGCCAGACCTACTGCCTCTTCTCCTTTGGGGAAGACTGTTCTTTATGTTTGCCCTTAATTATAAGGCAGGGTTTTCTGCCAGCAGCAGAAACATGCAGGGAACCCTAGACATGTTTCCCTTTTTAAAGAAGTGACATCATGTTTAAGATAAAGCCTAGTTTACTGTCAACTTTTCTTGCTTTAATCTTTTGCTCAAATCCTCAGATATCCAGAAACTAGGTTTTCTGACGTGCATTTTAAGGTTCTTTTTTCCGGGCTCTCTTACACTGACTGGCTGTCGCACATGGGGAAGATCTCACAGGACACACTCTGAGAGCGTCCATCGCTCTGGGTCCGCGGCACACTGCTGGGTCAGCAGCCAGCCCACTCCGACAGCCACGTCAGCGGCCACGCTGGCTCTGGGCTGTGGAAGCTGCGTGTGCAGAAATGACTGATTGTTCCGCCGTCTCTCCTTTTTCAGAGGGACTGAGGTGAGGAAAATCAGGGCACTCACCCATGACATCTGAATCTCAGCCTAGATGAGATTCTTACTAGAGATCCCTTGTTGCTTGTATTCTGGCAAAACAAGTGCATGATAAATTGGAAGGCCCCTCTCAAGTCTGGGAAAAAATGGAACTGAATGATTGAATGGGTAGCTTTAGGCCCACCTTTTAAAGCAAGGCTGTGACATGACTGAGTATACGTATCTACCACCACTATTTAATGTGGCTTGTTCATTGTTTTTGTGTTTAAATGAGGTGGGGGGGGGGCACAGACAATAGTGAAGTGAAGGCCTAGGGAGGGGAGGGAGGGGGGAAGAAGGGGGTTAATGGGGGGAAAGGGGACATCTGTAATACTTTTAGCAATAAAGATAAATTTTAAAGAATAATGTTGTAAATGACTTTCCCATTCTAAAAGAGTGATTGTTTAATAAGCATTAACCAGGTAAAAGGGAATACACGTGCAGTTTGTATGTTGTGTTTTGTGAAACTCTGGATTCCTTCATTCAAATCGTTCAGGTAGCTTTAAAAATGAAGTCTGAATCCTTATCCCCACTTTATGGGTTTTCTACTTGCTTTATTTTTTTAGCCCCTTTTCTGCCCCTACTCATAAAGGTCATCTTCTCACTTAACTCTACCTGCTGCCACAGAAGTTCCCAGAGACCCAAAGGCCTCGTGACATGAAAACACTTCAAAGTATCTCTGTTTCCCTCATGCTTTCTGTGTCTGTAGAACTTGAGCCTGGACACTGTCCAGGAGGGAGCTTCTTGGCCAGCCTCCTAATTTATTCTGAATCTTTAGAGAAATTATGGTACAAAGCAACTCAAGAAAATGCAGCTTTCGTGAGTTCCTTTTTAATTTTCTCTCCCGTTTTCCTTCTCCCGTCCCCGATGAAAGCAGGATGGTGAGGTGACCACAGTCCGAGAGCAGGAGCAGAACGTCCTGGTGCTGAGGAAAGTGCAGCACGGCGGCCCGGCCCCCCCAGGCGGGAGCGCCGACAGCGATTGGAGGTGAGTTTCCTCCGAGGCTCGCGCTCCCGCTTCCCCTCCCTGCCTGCCTCCCTTCCCCGCTCCCCCTCGCTCCCTCCTCTGCCTCCTTCTCCTCCCCCTCCTTTTTCTCTCCGCCTCTCAGCGTTCTAGCTGACTGCAGAGCTCTCAGCAGCCAGATGGACTCAGTTCCCAGGGAAAGCCCGAGATGGCCAAGATCTCTTAGCATTTAGGGGATGCCTTTGTCAGGAGCCGGGCACAATGGGCAGCTCCCGGCTGCGGGTCCGCGACCCGCACTTGGAGAGGAAGGATTGCGCGGGGCTCTCGGACCGCCCGCTGCCCCTGCCTACCTTCGATGTGCCTTATTTCAAATACATTGACGAGGAGGACGAGGACGATGCGTGGAGCAGCCGCTCGCAGTCCTCCACCGAGGATGACTCGGTGGACTCTCTGCTCTCTGACAGATACGTGGTCGTGTCCGGGACCCCCGAGAAGATCTTGGAGCACCTTTTGAATGACTTGCACCTGGAAGAAGTCCAGGACAAAGAAACAGGTAAGACCGGGCTGTCTCCTGCTTCCAGCCTCAGCAGCCGCTGCCCTTGTCAGTGTGTATCCTTAGGAGCAAGCCTCCCGCTGTGGCCGCCCCGGGAGTGGGCTGCTCCAGCGTATGCTCCGTGCCCCTCCCCCTCGGCCCCGTGCCGTTTTGTTTAAATCCACTAAATGGACACATGGAGATCTGAGCAGCTGCCGGGGAAGTAGCTGTACAAAGAAGAGGATACGCAGGCAGATGTTCTTGTTTCTTGGGCAGTTTTTACCAGACCTTCCCTAAAGACGTTGGCAAGAGGCCAGTGTTCAGCCGGAAGAAATGCAGGCGAGGGGTTAATGAGCATTCACCTGGCCTGTGGGGGGCTCTGCATTGGGGGGAGCAGCCTCCCACAGAAATGTCAACAGTTAATGCAACTGCTCAGCAACTAGAAGCTGAGCAACTTCTGCCTTTTCCCAAGTGGCTTACACGCCGCTCAGAGCACGCCCTCTCGGTCCAGAAATTATAACTCATGAAGTCGGACTGATCGGACTCCTTGTCTTTTCTATTTAACCTGGGAGCAAAATGCCCGTTTAGCTTTCTCACCTTTGCCCTTTTGCAAACACTACTATTGCATGTACAGAAGGACTAGCCACACTTTCTTGTTCACAGAAGGGTAAGTACTTGCTTCTCTTCACCAGATTTGTAAATGGTTCCAGCCTGGAGCAATTATTCCGATGACTAGGCCCCTGGCTATAGCCTGAATCCGGTAACTTGATCCCCTGACGGAAAGGCACTTTTTGCTGCCCCCAGAGCACCTGGGATGCCCACAGTTTGCGATCACATATTGCCTGCAGCAGGAAGAGGCAGTGTTCAGTTGTATTAGGACAAAGTAACTCCTTAGGTTTTTCCAGGCAGGAAGGGTTGTGAAATGACAGCATAGGTGGGAGCAAGAATTCCCTTGGGTCCCAGAGGTCTCTGAACCTACCTGATGTTTGGCTCTCTCTTGCATCACAAAGGACATTAAGAGAAACCAAGATGTGTGAAATGTGTCAGTGGGTAAGGAAAACAAAGCAAAATGACCCAATCATGTTTCCTCCAGTATCTCAAATTTCAAATAAATACTTTATTTTGCGCAGGAATGTTTGGGCAAGAAAATCAGCAGTTGTCATTTGTACACAAACAAGCTAAAGGAAAAGTGTATTCTCGTGGCATTTGCCGGGGTTTTTGTGTGCCCATCGGTTAATAGTTGGTGCGCTTGAGCACGTTCCCGTGTCCTGTGTTCATCAGAGAGCACCTCCTGGAACCGGCCAGGGTTCCCATGTACTGATCACCAGACGGCCTCTCACAGGTGGTTGGGACTAGAATACGAGCAGCTCACCTGCCACGAAGAGGACACCTTTAAACATGGGTAGAGGTTCGGGGGGTAAATGCTTTCTTCTTAATAGCACCACAATTTATTCTTTAATACAAGACTTTGTGCCCAGGTCATATTGATAAGGGTAGAAATTATGAAAGCCAATACAAGGCCTCGATTTCTTTTTCTTTCTTGTTGCCATTAGTTTCCTGTGAAAATGGCCAATCACAAGTTCCCACTGTTGAACACTGGGAGTGAGAAATCACCCCGATTACTCTTCCTAATGCCAGGAGTTGCCTCCTGTCGGGAACTGGTGTTGTGCATGGTGTCTAGTGACTGCTATCCCACTTTATCAATTACACCAACACTGGGATCAACTGTGTCACTTTAGCCACATGCTCAGAGGACTAGGTGCAGTGGTCTGACCTAAGCTGGGACTAGAATACCAGCAACTCACGGGGGTGGGGGGGGGCGTGAATGGGGGCGTGGAGACACCATTTGGGGTCAGCCTCTCCTCATTCCTTCTCCTTTTCTTAGAGTTTGTGGAGGACACACTTCAGATTGTTACACAGACACTTGAGGGGGGAAATGGTAACAACTTCTCCTCCGATCAAAGGAGAATTTTATGACAATAAGAAAGTCAACTTTAGATTGATGTGCATGTAATAGGGGTGCCTATGTGGCAGTCACATACAATTCTTCAAAACTTCATGCACAGGGCTATCAACAGAGGAGCCACCATGTGGTTTTTGTTGATAAAATTGAAAGAGATCATAAATATGAAAGAAAATTCATTTTGTGTACAAATTGAAGGAAACCGGGTATGAGTGTGTGGTCGTCTGAATGTTAAATGAATCACATATTGAAAGTAATCGAGGCTCCTTGTCACTGAGGGAGGTGAAGTCTAGTTCTTTATCTTGGTCCAGCCGGCAGTCCTCATTACAAAAGGCTCTGTGTGCAAGAGCCTGATAGAGTCACATAAACATATGGAAGGCAGATGGAGGGGAATGAGAAGGGGCTGCAATAAAAGTGTACAGTGGTGTTTTATGTTCTCCAGCGCCCCTGCTAGGGAGATGGAGCCATATGGGGCAGGATGGAGCCATATGGCGGTCGTCCGCCTGGGCCCAATGGCAATGAGGAGGAACGGGGTACCTGGGAGGAAATAAATGGTCCCAGTGGCTGCCATGAACCTGTTCTGGACCTGGCATTCCTGTACCCACTAGAGGTTGGGAAAGATAACCAAGCATGAGATGCAAATTTTTTTCCCATCTCTTCTCCACTAAAGTCACTTAGTTGTGAAAGTGTAGGTGCAAGGCCAAGCAGAAGAAACCTACATCACCAAGGACCAGTTGAAATGATTACTAGGTGATGCCAAAGCACAAGTGGGAGGAGAACGTCAGGGCTACTGAGATAATGTGTTTCTGTGGCTACCTGGATTCATATGGTATTCTATCACCAAATCAAACCGAGTTTTCAAAGCAAAAGTAATATCAGAAATGCTTAAAAGCAATCTATTAATGCTTTTCCCAACCGATTAGGTCCACACAGCACTATTTACCTGCTGATCTTCATCATCCCCTACGTGCATACCTTTCCTCCCTGGCTGTACCAGGCATGAGGAGTCACCCGCGAATGGTGTGGAATGAATGAATGAATGAATGGATGAATGAATCTTCCCTGTTTAAAATGGAACAAGTATTTGAGTCTGGTAGTTGGATATCTATTTGTGATCATGGAAAGTAATTGAAGCCATTGTCAAAGATTTCCTTTTCTTTCAAGGTTCAGGTTCTAACTTGAAACATTGGGAATGTTAGAGAAAAACCAAACAGCTGAATCTTTCATCTTCCCAGAGTGGGGCAGGCATCACTGGGCATCCCCAGCCCAGAAGAATGACCAGGAAGGCAGAAAGGAAGAGAGAGGAGGAGTTGTGAGCAGGAGAGAGGGAGGGCAAGTCCATAGCCCACCCTGGACTGAGGGCCACAGAGGGCCTCATTTCTGCCTCTGTTTAGCCCTCTCCCCACCCTCGAGAGGATAAAGCGTGTTTTATTAGAGATGCTTCTGGGAATAACAATGTCTGTTTCAAAGCAGGGGGGAAACTACGCATCACATGGATTATACAGAGAAAAACCTTCTTATTGATTTTTCTCTCTAAATCTGCAGTATGATGGGTGGGCCTTCAGGAAAACACAATGAAATGCATTATCTGCTCCCCTCTTTTTTTAGTTTCCTATTCCTTATTCATCTGTTTGATGAAAATGCACTATGATTGCAGGTTTCCAAGAACAAGAAGCAAACAGACTAGGATAGGGGAACTAGGGAGAGCCTACCAGCTGATTCTTATTAGGCTGGACCTGATTTCTTCAAGGTATGGCTGGTATTTTCTTTAACTTCATGGGTTATCTGGTATAGTCTATGCTCAGTGTGGGAATGTCTCCCCAGCCTGCTTTGATCGTATTATAGGCGCCTCCATGTTAGTGGTGTGCTTAGCACCTAGTAGGGGGAGCATGTCATTGTAACAAGGCAACAACCTCTGTGAAAGTGCCTGGCATGTATTATTGGAGCGTCTCACTCGATCGATAGAGTCCAAACATTATTCTCTGTCGCCAGCTTCAAGGCTTTGTAGAGTATTAATCCACCACCAGAGCTTTGAGTAAAGCTAGGACAGGCACCTTCTGTTTCCAGGTAGAGCAAAGGCTTAAGACAGCTCTCTGCAGTGACAGTGAAAATCCCCAAGTGCTGCGGAGGGAGGGAGAGCTGGAGCAGAAGTGCTTATATTGGAATATGGTTTCTGCCCAGCCAGGGTGGCTCAGTGGTTGAGCATCGACCTATGAACCAGGAGGTCACAGTTGGATTCCCAGTCAGGTCACATGCCCAGGTTGTGGGCTGGATCCTCAATAGGGGGCGTGCAGGAGGCAGCCGATCAATGATTCTCTCTCATCATCGATGTTTCTATCTCTCTCTCCCTCTCCCTTCCTCTCTGAAATTAATACAAATGTGTGTGTGTGTGTGTGTGTGTGTGTGTGTGTGTGTGTTAAGAATATGGTTTCTGCTCTCATCTTTGTACTCCAGGGTTTGTTTCTTTTGGTTTGGTTTGTGTGTGTTTTTGGCTGTTCCCTTAGCTTCTCTTCTAATTACTAATATGAAGAATGCAATGTGTTTGCTGTAAATGAAGCGTTGGGAGACTTTATAAATTAGCGTTGACAAAGTGATGGGATCCACTGGAATTGTGTAGTTGCCTCATTTGTGAAAGCAGAGGACTTAGACCACATGACGTTTGAGTTCCCTTCTAGATTTGAGAGCCAGGATTTGAAGGTTACTCAAGACACCATTTCATTTAATCCAGTAAACTTCCTCTCCATTAGATCCTTATACGGGATCATTATCCTCATCTAATAGACAGAGAAACTAAGAAAGACATTAACTAAGCTGTTTCAGAGATCAAGTGATCATTGGAATCTGGGGATGAACCCAGGTATATTCCTAGCTTTATTCCTTTATCATTTTTGTTCAGTGACTAGAATCATGGATGAAAGGCATAAATGAAATAAAAACCTACCATTCAACTGTAGCCATAAGCCCCAAATCAAATGCTTTAGTAGCCACTTAAGAGCGATCTAATCTCCAGCACAGACCTGCTGCTTGGTTCCCAGCTGTGAGCAGAGAGGCCAATGCATGAGCTCACTGCTTCAAGAAGGTTACAAGAAGTCCTAGCTTCAGCGGGTTGTGCTGTATCAGACAGTCACATGAGAAGTGTCTAGAAGTCAGATTTTGACTGGATTTCATTTGAGGGGTTCATCTTCCGGACTCATCTATACACACCACCTTTGAACATGCGCTATCATGTATGATAGCTAGGGAAGTGATGCTTTTACACTGCCAGGAGATTGTGGGTTAATTAATACTCTCGTTGGTAATGAAGCAAGGTGAAATGAAGCGAGACAGAGCCGGAGCATAAGGTCATTAACATGCACTGATTAATAATGGAAATGTGGACATTTTCACTGCAGCACAACCCATGGGCAGAGGAAGATGTTTAATGGATAAGGATGCTTTTCAGGGACTTGTTTAGTCCCCATTTAGCATGAGAATGGATCATTGGAATGCATTTTCTTAATTGCATCATTTTCATGTTGACTCCACATGACCTCTTCTAATACTTAGAGATTAAGTATACTAGTAACTCTAGAGCACACTAGACACAAACTAAAGTATTGTAAAGCTATGGGAAATTAATTTCAAGAGGATCCAAAGGTGGAAATGAAATATGTGAGGGGCAAGAATTACCTTAGAAAGTAGATCTTAAGCCTCTTGACTATAAGAATTTTGAAAAACTTGGGCATCTTAGCAAGAATTTTTCGACTTTCTTCTTTGAATGCTTTTAAGGAAAATATCAACCCCTTTCTGATGGTTTGGAGCCTGGAGGTGAGGTAGAGGGTCTTTGAACGTTTCCTTCGCACTACGTTCTAAATGAAGTAGTACCCACGTGACTGCTTGTGTCTCTAAAGTCAGTCCTCTTGATGACGATGTTACCGAACCCAAGTTCTTGTGCCCGATGCTTCAAACTGCCAAAACTCAAGACGTCAGAGTTTGGGGTAAGGAAAAGTTTATTGATTGAGAAAGCACCAACTGAGAAGAATGGAGACTTATTGGTGCCTCAAATCCATCTCACTCGCTGGACTAGGTTAAGGGTTTTTAAGGGGATTGGGGGACAGGCATGGGAAAATGCTGGTGGGACAAGTTTTAATTGGAGGACCTTGGCACCTGGCCATTTATTGTAAAGGGGCATCAACACCAGATCTTCCTGGACAATGGACCCTTGGCTTCTGAAAGTGTTCTGGTGTTCAGATTGGGGTTATGTCCTGGTTCTTTGCTTTTGGGGGGCAGGGGAGGGAAAGGGGGCCAGGTGTCAAGACTTGGGTTCCAGATGCAGCTAGAGGTCAAAGTTCTTTCCTCTGCACACGCTTTGGCTGTGGCTGCATGATTTGGTATATCCTCTCCAAAAAGCAACTCAGTAGCTCACTAAACAATATAGGACCATCTGGAGCTGGTTCTGTAGTTACAGTGTTCTCAATCCCCTGATTATAAGGGGTTTCCCTGTGGACACTGCAGCCAACATGGAAGACTTGGAAATGAATGGGCTTTCTTCTTTATACGCATTTGCACATTTTCTCTTATTTACATTGTATTTGCAGCTCCTGAATTGCTTTCCCTCCACCTCAAATGTCGATTTGATACTCATCTTTTTAGAAAGATGACTGTGGAAACCTTAGGTATTTCTTTCCTTGTTGTTCAGTACATTTCTAATTTCCTACAATAGCTGGAGGGTAAGTTATTCCAAGTAATATAATACTCTGGCACATTGAGAGCTGCTAAAAGTGTGTATTTGATTGGTCAACTTTTAAAAAATCAGAGTATATAAAATTATCATCTATTCTAAAATATAAAGACCCTGTTTAATAAGTTCCAAAGTTCATATAGAATTTGAGGTCCTAGTAGACATTAGTTTTATTATATATAAATAAGATAGTGGCTTACATCTGTATTGTCTCTTTGTCATAGGATAAAGGTTATTTTGAAACATAAGTCTTCAATATAGCTTGTAGTTTTCCTCATAAAAATAAATTTGAGAAAGATGACAGCTTTGTTTAGTTTTCTTTTTAAATCTGACTCCCTAATCTCCGCCCTTTAAGAACGAAGGCTGCTACGTCGGTCTCTTTTCCATCTATAGTTCTGTAATCTCTACAGCAGGTTCCCAGCAGTTTGGTGCCAATTTTTGTTCTTGTAATTTTTTTTTCTTTTTGTGCTGTTTGTGTTATTTTAAAAGGAAAATGGATTTTTGTTCCTTTAACAAGAAAATGCTATTCTCAAATCTTAAAGTGTTTAAATGTATCATATTTTCTAAATGAGTTTGGGTCTATTGTCATAATAATTGTACTTTAGTAGAAACACTTGCGATTTTCTCAGCGTCCAGCTTCATTCCCAGAAACTTGCTTAAAGGTGTGATGTAAGTCAGGCATTTGGGGAGCAGCAAATTGAAAGGAGCAACAGATTCTGAAATCCATGGAGTCAACATATTATGTTCAATAGTGAGTTTAACAACCTAGTGATTTTAGCAAAACCATAGTTTTACTGTAACATCAGTGCCTGGAGTTACTCGAGTCCGTTGAAGATAATGTCAAAGGATGAGAACACTCTTCTCCCTCTCTGTCTCTCTTTGTCTCTCAGAGATCTCAGGCGGGACCTCCCCACACAGTTGATGGATTTAAAGTGAGACCCATCAGATGTCCATGTCTGTATTTTTAAATGCTGTGACATTTTCCTCAAGCAAAATTGAGCATCCTATCAGAAAATGAAAAAAAAAAGTGATTTTTCAGTGTAAAAGTGTGTACTTCAGACAGTCTTACACGTGTGAGGAAAGAACATTAGTGGATGGCAATTTGTTGATTGTAATCACTGTGTGTGAATCTTTCACAGCATGTCGCAGGCAAATTATTGCTTCATTTAAGGGGTGCATCGCCACCCAATTGCTGTAATTGACAAGCACATGTCTGAAAGGGACATTCTGTGAGTGGGGGGATCTTTGCCTGTAACATACCTGTAATTGAGCTTTTCCTCATTTCACAGTCTTCTCATTATAACCTTCCCTCCCATTTCCCATTATCTTCATTTTCTGCCCTCGGGGCTTTCTTGCTCTATAATTGAAACCATTCTTTTCATTCGGTTGCAGCCTTCTGCCTTCTACTTAAGGCAGCTACTTGGCTGGCAGTCCTCCCCCCGGCCCCACACCACCTCCCCCAAATCTCAGAAACAAACATGAACTTAGAATTGTTAAATGTGGCTGAGCAGAACATGGGGAAAACTAAAATACCTTGTTAGAATGCCCCAAATATCTTGTTATAACCTAAATAGTGAACAGAAAATTATTTTTAGAGCAAGTCTGTATCCTTTTCTATTTTAAATCACTGTTCTTATTTGTTCTGGGTATACAGGATACTTGGTGAATCTTTAAAAATATGTTTTTATTGATTTCAGAGAGGAAGGGAGAGGGAGTGTCAGAGACAGCAGGAGCACTGCTCAGCACTGCTGCTCGGAGTTGTTCTGAGTCCATATATTTTTCTAAAACTTTCCCGACTACACCAGGGCAGGTCCTTCTAGAACACTGCCCACTGTACTAACTGTTGGGAACTTAGTCCAAGTTCCCCCTTTATCCTCTGCTCACTAGTAACAGTTGTTAGGTCTGAGCCCCTCTGCCTGGGGCTGGACCTTCTAGGATGGTGGGTTTTAGACCGAGAAGCTGTGAGAGGTTATCTGTAATAATAAAAGCATAATATTCAAATCGACCAAACAGTGGAATGACCGTCCAGAAGACCATGCTATGACACCCACTGGAGCCAGGCCAGGCAAGGCGGGTGTGATGGGATTGGTCGGGGGCCCAGCCATTGGCCCATGATCGCCCCCTCTGCGGGGGCAATCGATCGGGGCGGAGGGGGCGGCAGTGCTCCAGAGAACTGGGGGTGTGTGGCTGCGGATGTAGGCAGTGCCAGGTCAAGGCAGGTGCTGGCGCGGGGGCGGGGGCAGGGGTGTGAGAGATGGGGCCTCGAGGCAGCCAGGGCTGCAAAGGCCTACCCTTGAACGAATTTCGTGCATCGGGCCTCTAGTGGGTATATAAGAATGAGTCTTCATTGCAGAAGCCAGTGGCCACATAGTCATCAGACAAGACAATTCTTCACAGCCAAGTCCATACAGGCAGGCAGCCGGACAACGTTGGTAAATACATATCTTTCCCATAAAGCAGCGTTAGTCTCTGTACCCACAGTTATTATCTGAGCAGCCGCACACTGCCTCTAGACCCCTAGCTTTACTTAGCAATAGTACCTGAGCTCTCTCTCTTAGAGCTTCAGCCTCAGTTGCCTCTCCAGCCTCGCAGGCTCAGCAGCTTCTCCCATCTCCCCTGCCCAGCACACTGGCTGGGTAACGTGGTAGCTATATCTGAGCTCTCTATGAGCTCTTGGCCTTACATCGTAGCAGTATCAGCTCTCAGCTCCGTCTGAGCTCTCCTCTCTCCTGCACACATAGGAGCTACATTCTCTGTGCCTGCCGCCTCTGCTTCTTCTCACTCCAGCATACTAGCTGGTCAGTAACTTCTGTATTACTCCAGAGCAAAGAAGGCTAGTTGCCAACAGTGGCATCAATCATATTTTGGCTACAGAAGGGCACAGTGTACCGTGTGTCCTTGCACCCGCTTATGGTATCTTGGCCTTGGGCACCCTGATTAGGCTCATGCTCAGGGTGGCCTTGGCCATTCTGGTGTACTGACAACAAGGCCCCTGTGCTTCCATTGGCCTTGACTACCTGGGGACCCTGGCGTGGTTCCCACAGGGAGAGAGTCAGACCTTGGGGCCTAGGCACCTTCCAACATTGATGTGCAGTAACTCGGTGATTATTCCCCTTACGTATCCCAGTCTCAGTGTCATCACCACAAAAGAGAATATAAGGCTGACCCTCCTAGGGTGGATGTGGGGAGCACAGATCAGGGGGTAAAGCTCTGGTACAGAACAAGGTACGTGGTCATTTAAGGGTGGCTGTCATAGAGTAGCTACTGTTCCCTTCCCTACTTGCCTCATGGCCCACCAAAGCCACCACTGGCTTCCTGGTGCGCAGTAAGAAACAGGTGAGGCAGACAGGAGTGGGACGTGGAGGTTTGCGCAGACATTCACATGAATGGAATGTTAATCAGCCTGGGTCTGTAGGCTGCCTTATGTGGTCCTTTAATGATCTCACCTGTCAAATTCCAAATCCGTACAGAAGTTGAGACTGTATCTTTTTCTTTCTTTCTTTCTTTTTTTGAAGTATTACAAATAGTGGTACATATGTCTCCTTTTTTTTTTCTCCATTGACCTCCCCCCCGGCACATGCCCTCACCGAGACTGTATCTTACAACTTTGTCTTCTTCAGAACAGAGAGCACAGTGCTCAACCATAGGTAATAGGTCTTCGGTTTTGGCCCGACCTTTCTTTGTGACCCTAAACCACGTCTCCCTTCCGCCTGTGTGAGAAAGGAGGCAGCTAGGTGTTATTGATGAAGACTCCAATGACTGTTCTGGAAATCAGAACACAAAGGCGCGCCTGCCGTCAGCCACTGGTTGAAATATTTATCCCATAAATACTTTGAAGCATAGGAAATACACTAAATTTCCCCGTATTGGAAGCTTTCAGCATGTGGAAGATCTTGCACCAGATTGTTTAGAAAGAGCATTAGTTGTGTTTAGTTGCATTTACTTTAAATTAGTAAGTTTGTGCAATATCTTGTTATCTTTAATATATCTAGCTATTGTGCTGATTCTTAGCTTTAAAATCATCAGTTTCTAAACCTTGAAGAAAATAACTTCTCTCTAGTATCCCTAGAATTTCTGTTAATCAGAAACAAAAATAAATAAAAGTTTGCTTCTCTGAAACTCAGTGCTAATGATTACAACAATCGGGGGGGAGTGGGGAACTTTCAGAATTGTGATATATTTCTAGTTTTCAAAGAAAGCTGATAGCAGAGATTCTTCTTGGTGCTTGGGAGATAAAATATCATACCTGGTTCTAAA